TTTTTCCAAGGTCTAAAAATAAAGATATCTATTTTTAAACCTTAAAATGATTTTTAAGGCTTAAAAATAGAATTTTTACGAAAATAATTTAAAAAAATCAAATAAAAATCAGAAAAATACAAATTAAATTTATCTGGGTTCTCTAACCTCAGAGAGATTTTCCAAAAATAAAAAACCTTTTTTTCAACACTTAAAATATTTTATTTTTATTAACGTCCCCAAATCTTCAATTAATTTTAATAAATCATGAAAAATTTAAAAAATTATGAAATTTTGAGCAAATGACTTTCTGGTCTAGGGCTAGCTTACAAAAAAATTTCAAGTGATTATGAATTGTCTTGATCATCTTTGGGAATTTTCTTTGAAGATGCATATTTTTGCATAAAAATAATTATATGAATTAAATTAAATTGTGAAAATTCACATTTTCTCCTCTGATGTCTTAATTGACCTATCAGTAAGTTTAAATAAAAATTTCAATGTCATTTGACTTAAATTTGACAAATTATGAAAGTTTGGACCCTTAATGGCAAAATTGTAATTTTGGATATTTGGCCTTAATGAACATTTAGGCTTAACCAAAATGTGAAATGAGTAATTTCTGATATTAATTAACTCATTTGATGATTTGCAATAAAAAATGGGCTTAATTGGTAGAAACCCACTTCACTTTACTAAATTACAAGATAAAAGAATAATTCCCATAATTATCAAAATTTTGGAAACTCATTAGCATAAAATGACTTTTGAATTTAGGGGTATAACTTTGGAAATCAATGATTTCATCAATGATTTCACCCCGCAAAATTATGTTTAAATGATCTTGATACCCTTATTTGATAATCAAAATCTTGATAATGATCACTTGATAATGATCACTTAAAGTTTTAAATTTTTCAAAATTAATACACACACTTAATACATTCACTTAGGTCTTAAAGACTTAGTGGTGAACTTAAGTTGAAATCAACTTGTGAAAAGAGGATTAGAAAAGTAAACATAATTAAACTTCTTTTAAACACCACAAGTCCAATTAGGACTAAAATTTGGCTAAGTGTTCTTAATAACACTAGATTGCCCCCTTTAGGGTCTTCACCAACATAATCTTCAAATTAAAAGACAAATGACGTTCACCCTATTCTTAGGGACAATCAAGACATCAATATTCACTGAGCATAAGGATATTCAGGATGAATTATTAAATAACATAATAAAGTTTAAATGAACCTAATGCCTTTTACCAGACATTAAGAAGGTTGCATGAACCTGCTCCCTACTCTTAACCTGGTAAATACCTTAGGGATCTATTAAACTCAATATGTTTTACTTAATAATATTATCCTTAAAATTTAAGGACCCCCAATACACAATATAGAGAGGAAGGTTTCCAAAACTTTACTTTT